TGTTCATGTGAGCCCTATATATTCATGAAATGAGGATTGATCAAGGGTTGGCTTCATTTTCACCAAGAATCTCCCAAATTCTCTCATTCTTTTTCATTGAATTTTCATTCCAATTCCTCAAATTCTTCACCAAATCATCATCAAAATCAACTTCATTATACTGTTTCATCATCATAGATCATAATTCAATCAAGAACAAGGTGTGATTACTCCATTTTCGAGCACTTCCATCATCAACATCAAAATTGAAGTTTCCATTGGACAGCACAATTCAAATCAAGAATCATCAAAGTATTGCATACAGAACCAATCACTGAGTTAATTGATCAAGATCCAAGCCTTGGAAGCCTCAGATCCACAAATTTCCATAGCTGTTTTCAAGCTTTTGCACCAGGTGTGTTTTCATTCAAATTGCTTGATTCAGTTAGTTAGGCATAGATTTGTTAGTTTAGATATGATGCAGGATGTTAGTAGAATAATTAGGATGAATTCGGAGTGGTTTGGTGATGATGATTAGCAGGTTGTAGAAACTGTTGGGATCAAGAACTCTTTGGTTAGTGCATTAGAATTTTAGGTTGTTAGCGCAGGTTAATCACCATTAGTTATAGATTAGATTAGTGCAAGTTTGATGGAGAATTGTGATGATGAGTTGCAGAGTGTATTCATGGTGACCAGCATTTGTCTTGATCGGGTTGAGAGTTGTGATGAGTTTCAAAGCAAACTGATGCCATAGGATTATAGAGGGAGAGACCCTGAGCATTTTTCATGTTTATAGCGTGTTGATTCATGGCCTGGAGAGTGAGGACAGATTGGTGGAATGGTGCTCGTGCATGAGCTCTCATGGAGGAAACCCTAATTCCTAAGATCCATTGGAGAAGACATAATCTGGACCTTTCATTTCACGTTGGACCTTTGACTAAGAGGGAAATCCTAGGGCTAGCATTTAATTTCAGATTTGGAGGGAGATGTGTTGGCCCTAAACGCACCGTTTCATTAATTGAAATGGGCGGGCCTGAGTGAGATGTTGATATCCCCACCCCCCAGTTAGTGAGCCCAATCAGTTTGAACGTGGTTTCGTTTCTTTTCTCACCCCCTGCGTTGCTTTTATTTTTCACTAAGTCTGAGTGGTTCTGGGCCTGAGCGTTAGTGCTACGCGCACCCCCTGTCTGTTTGGCCCATCCTGATTTCAACTAGGGCGCCTGCTATTCATACCCCCCTCCCTCATTTTAATTCAATTTAATTTTTTTAATTCCACTTTAATTTTTATGCATTTTCATTAATTCATAATAAATTCATAAAAAATCATTTTTAATTCATTCTTTTTACACTATTTTCTTTAGGATGTGTAGAAAATTTTCATTAAATAAAATTGCATTTTTATTTTCATTTCATATTTTTTCCATATTTTCTAAATAAATGTCATTTTAAATAGCTTCATTTCATGCATGATTTTAATAATTTTTGTTCTATTAGATGCTTTAATATTTTTTGTCCATTCTTTTTAGGCTGTTTAGTTTAGACATTAAACTTGTAGATACAATTTAGTTCCCATTTTTAGAAATTAAATTTAGGTGCTTAGTGTAGGTGGGAACAACATGAACAAATTAGGGTTTTTTAGGTGATGACTTAGGAAGTTTGATTCATTTCCCTTAGGACTTAGGGTTTGAATAGTTTAGTTATGGGACTATAGGGGCTATGGGTAGTTATTAGATCCCTTAGAAAAAGTCAGGATTCCCCTACTGCTGTTAATACTGTCTGTGTATCTGATTGACTGGTGTGGTGTGCCCTCTGGGGATCATTGCTTGCTTGCTTGGGTATTGGGTTTGTCTGGGGCCTTGGGAGAGTTGAAGACTTAAGGAGATGAAGACCATTGGAGATTCAGAGATTGAAGATCAACTGCCAGAGTTGGAGAGGAGGTTCTTGCTAGCAGCTGCTGAGGAGACTAGGGTTTAGGAGCTAGGCAGAGCTCTAGATTAGAAAGTTTGTTTCTCAAACATGGATTGCCTTGTCTGCATCCATTCTTCTCTGTGATTCAGAGTCTCTCTAAGACACTCACCCCCTTCCTTTGGAAGGCTTGGTGATGGTGTCTATGAGATAGAACTCTTGAGAGGAAATGTCTTTTGTGTTAGAAGCAGTCTGTTCACCACCCTTGGTAGTCAACTGATTGCTTAACACCCAATTCACTCTTGTGACTGATTCCTCATCCTGGAGGTTTGAACTTGAAGAAAAGCCATTGCAGATGGAAGAATGATGATCAAAGCCCTTGCCTAAAGGCCATAAAGATGGAGATTGATGCTTGTTGAAGCCTGTAGCTGATTGGAGATTGCTTGAAGCCAGATGTTGATTCAGAGCTGCTGATGCTGTTTCTTTTGCTGTATTGCATTTGCTGATGTATTGATTGGTTTTCTGAACTGTATTGTTTGCTGTCTACCCTGCTGGGTTGAAAGTGAAGTCTGTTCACTTTCGCCTATTGTTTTCTAGGTTCGAGGTTGAGTGGGACTCCCTTGCCTCGCTTGTACTGTTGCATCCATGCATTTTACTGTTTTACTGTATATATCTGATATTGTTTCTGTTTCTGCCTATCCCTTAGGATCTCTGTTTTTCTCTGTGCAAGAGAGGAGCATGATAGACACTAGGTCTTAACCCATGCATGATAACATTAGGTTAGTTTGTTTCCCTTTGCAACCGTAGGTTAGAGTTCTGTCTCTTCTCTCTCAAAACAAACAGAAGAACACATAAAGATTTCAAACCCAATAAAAGACACTTCTTCCGTAAAAGAATGTGAACTCATCAAAACGTCATTTTTGTCCGCTGGGACTGCTAATCAAGAAAACCTTTTCAGAAGGAATAAAATCAACCAAGACAGACTTGTGTCGTACGTGGCCCGAACTACGTTTGCTCTGATCTTTCATGCTGTATGAAAGTACGTAGGCATAGGATGCGATATCCTAGCGAGCAACCTTCCCCTCCTTTCCCGTAGGTAGGCGAACTACGTTGACTCTGATTTCTCGTTCCAGGCGAGAATACGTAGGCATAAAGTGCGATACTTTGCCGAGTCATTTTTATTTTCATTTTATTTTCTTTTTCGCCCTTGACCTATAGTTTAGATAGAATAACAATCCATACCCGAAAACAAGCGTGGATCCCGTCGAGTACGACGGACGTGAGGGGTGCTAATACCTTCCCCTTGCGTAACCGACTCCCGAACCCAGATTTTGGTTGCGACGACCATACCTTTCCCGTGTTGTGCGAGGTTTACTCTGAGCGTTTCCTTTCCCTCTCGTGGGATAAATAACGCACGGTGGCGACTCTTCTGTTCAGCCGGCGCCGATTTTCGCAGTAGCGACAGCGCTGGTGTGGATATGGCGATCTGGAGAGCTTGGAGAAGATATGGATGTAGTGAAGTATTTGCTACTTGATCTATAATACCTCAAAGAGGAAGCAGTTGATTGATCTTTGCTTGAGCAACAACAACTTTGCGTGCTTCTGTAGAATGAGTAACTTTAAATCTATTCATTACTGAAAGGTTTGACAGCAGCGAACATGGAAATTTAGGAAATCAAGGTTGATATGTTGTTTGATTAGGTCGAATGTGGTAGATTTAGTGTTCGATTTCTAGAATTCTGATTCGATAAACTGAAAAGGTTTCAAACCGATGGATCGAAGAAAGGATGTGCAATTGAGGAAAACACGGGAAATGTGGGAAAAGACATTCCTCGGTCCAAGAGAAGTTAGGGTCAACAGTCTAATCCATATCTCCCTAGAAAATAGGGATTCAACGATCCACTACTAACTATGTGGGTGGCTATCATTCCCAAGGAAACACTAGGCCCAAGAGCCTTAATAAATACCTTTTCCCAAGTGGGAGAGAGGATATATCATAATACACATGATACACCGCAAAAAGTCACAAAGTTTCTCACCTCTATGAGCTTGCTCTCTCATTACTTTAAACACCACTGAACATAACATCTCGCCGCAGCAAACAAACCCTTGACCACTAAAAAAATACTAAAGCCTCTGGTTACCTTTAGTGGCTTAAGGGCACCACACATTTTGTACTTTTTGACAAGTACAAGTATAATGCTTCTTTCATACTCACACATTTAGCATCATAATCATTGCCTTTCAAACTTCATTCTTCATCAATTTCGTCATCTTTATTACTTTCATTTAAATTAAGACATCGAGACCCAGTTACTTTACATTAATATCTTTCACATTATGCTCAACATGAATACAACTAATATCATGTGTTAAATTTCACTAGCACGACTATCCATATTCACTTGCACAAAATTATCATTTATTCCACCAACTTTACTTCATCAAACCCTAAAATCTTTGTCACCATAGCTCCAACTAATCACCTAAAAACACCTCATTTGTCCGAATTTATTATAAAAAAAACAAAAGTTCGAATCTTATATTTATAAAATATTGTATTATCTCTTACCTACTTCACTTAAATATCCGAAGATAAAAACTAAAATTATTAAATAAGGATATAAAAAAATGTTGTATTGGTTTATAAATATATATTTATTTCGAAAAAGAATACAAATGAAATATTTTTTATGAGAAAAAAAATATTTTTTTAATCAAATAGTCTAATTATTGAATTTCACAATTAAAAAGTGAATAAATGGGATTCCCCAATGCCGCAACATTTGATGTCATTATATATATCTATTCAGCGAGCTGACGTAATGCAACATATAATCATATATTTAATGTATTTTTTTTGGTACAGTGGATCATATATTTAATGTTGTAATAGAAGTGAGAAAACAAAGTTTTCTTTCTCAATAAAAAAAACTTAATACAAATATTTTTGTAAGGAAGTAGTAATAAAAAATTTAATACAATGGGTGACCCCAAAATTGCCACGTATTGCGAACAGTTGCGGTTAAGAATGAAACGCGAGCATACATATGATACAAGTATCGTTTCTTTACACATAAACCTTCCATCTTCTACTACAACAACTCCACAAAGAAATGGCTTTCAGAATCGCTGCAACTTCCGCATCCCGTATCGTAAAACCCTACAACCCACCATCACCACTCTTTTCAGCTCCATTCCACAACCTCACTCTCAAATTCCATCTTCCACACGCCAATGCCTTTCCAAACCTCCCTATTCGTAAACCTGGTAATAATCCCCTTTCGAAGATCATCTGTTTCAAAAATATTGTTATTATTATTATCCGCTTAATTTTCTGTTTTTGTTTTGCAGGGTCTCAATGTTACATTCGAGCTATTAGTGAAAAAGTTGTAGAATCTTCAGTTTCTAAGAAAGAAGAGGAGGAACAACAGTTGCCTAAAGATTGGAAGATTAAAATGCTATATGATGGAGATTGTCCACTATGCATGCGAGAGGTTCATCTATCTTTCAATTTTGTTCATAAACTAAATATTTTGGCATGCTAGTAGTAGACGGTAGTTATTGAAACTTGTTTCATGTCATTGATAATAGTCTTTTTCTTTTTCATGTTAGGTCAATATGCTACGAGAGAGGAATAAGACTTACGGCACCATCAAGTTTGTTGATATAAGCTCAGATGATTACTCTCCTCAGGAGAATCTCGGCCTCGACTATCAAACGGTTAGTCCTTACAAGACTAATTGTTTTTGGTTTTGGTTTGTTATCTTAGTTACTAGATATTTGTTTGTTTGGTTCATTAATTTTTCAAGAACATTATTAATTGTTGTGAAAACTTGCTTCACAAGAAATGGACTAATTGGTGCGTGGATGTGAGGTTTTCAAGAATCTCTTGCGTTTGTTTATAGATATTTTTAGAATGACATTTTCCTTTTCTTTTTAGGCTATGGGAAGAATTCATGCTATTCTATCCGACGGAACTGTTGTCACCGACGTTGAAGTATGGCTTCTTTCCCGGTCTTATTTACTAACCTATGATAATGGATGACACTTAATGAATATCTGGATGTGATTGCTTTTGTATATGTTAAAATCCAATACTCAGTTCCGTTAAGGCAGCTCAATTGGTAGCTGTGTAGAGATATCAGGTGCAGGAGCTCGGGTTCATACCTGCGACATCCCCTTTATTCTTGGAAAAAAAAAACAGGAAATTAGCATGCTTACTAGCATAGTACTCGTAAGACATAAATATGAATATCAAATTTCATCTGTTATGTAACCTAATGGCTTCTAAATGCTGAGGACTATTAAGGGATAAATCACTGATAAATCACTGAGAGTAGAAAATGTTTTTTGCTCCAGTATGTAATTCTATATTTACTTTTCTTTGCTAGACAAATCTTTGCATTTATATATGCATTTGTTAATTGCTACGTGTTTGTGGGGGCATTATGCAGGCCTTTAGAAGATTGTATGAACAAGTTGGTCTTGGTTGGGTTTACGCCATTACGAAATATGAACCAGTAAGTCTTCCTACCAAACTTTGAAGGACTGTTGCTGTATAACACATTTTTCCTTTTGGCTTTACTATAAAACTGATGTCGGGTGTTTGTTCATCTTGTATATGTTATTAACGGGGGTAAACAATATTCACAGATTGGGAAAATCGCTGATTCCGTTTATGGTTTTTGGGCTAAATACCGTCTTCAAGTTACAGGTAAATGCAGAGCCGATAAATGATATTTTCACACTAAAATTTCCACGTATTAATATTTTAATTGTTCTTTCTTGCCTCTATGGTCATGCTAACCAAAATGATTATGCTTATATTCTTTCATTTTATGCTTTGATTGTCCATTTTGGTCAGGACGGCAGCCTATAGAAGAAATATTAGAAGCTCGAAAGAAGAAGGTACTGTATTCAATTGGATAAAGAATCATATATAGTATAGAATGTTTCTACTGAATAAATTCGATGAAATTAAAATGAAAATGAAAATTGAACGCGAAAAGAATTTAAGTTTGAGATTTGTCTGAAATTTTATAGAGAATGTTTCTTTAACATCATATACATTAGAATAATTGAGATTAATATTAAGTTCCATTGCCTAGATTAGTCTGGAATAAATCGATTCTATTCTAATATTTCTTCAGGCCATTGTTTGTTAGTAACATATTTCACTTCAATATGCCTTGCAACATAAGTTTTGGTGCTGATTTGAGTTCTTTTTAACTTTTCAACCATTCTTACAGGGCGAAGTGTGCAAAGACAACAATGCTTGCAAGATGTAAAAGATCTGACCGGTGTAAAAACTTTCAGAAGGCTCATTATATGATATGTACAGGATCTTCATTGGGATAAAGATTGATGTTAACCCAATGCTTTTTTGAAGTATACTTAACAAAAAAGCCTAAGTTTTGGATTACTGGAAAAAGTATTTCCGAACAAAAGGACCTATTCAGATCTAGTATTTTAGTAAATAGATAATACAAGTTGTGTGACATGATTAAAATAATATATATCTGATTGACTTTTTCAATAGTTTAACCATCTTATCTATTTAAACATGGCGAATTAAAATAACATTATTCATGCCTGTCCAACTTTATAAAAAAGGTTGTGTTGTGCCTTTTTTGGCTCAAGTTGTGCTGTATCTTAAAAAGGTTTACATCATATAAATAACAAAAATATTATGCTTGAACTTTTCCAAACTTGGTTCATTTTTGTCAAACAAGCACATTAACATAAATATCAGGCAAGATTAAACCTTAAAAATAAAAATAAAAACTTGATGACAAAATCTTAAAAAAATAATTATATGAGATCAAGACACCTCGTGAAAATACTAAAATGTTTTTAGATTTTGGAGATACAACTTCAGACGCATCTCAAACATAGACATTCTAGGTCAATTCTAAGCCGCGCCCTAGGAGTGTGGTTTTTTTAGATCCGACAATACATATATGAAATATGTATGTAGATGCATCTCCATAGCATACTGAATCAAAAAATCAGAAAATTGTACTTTGACAAAATAAAATTATCATTCATAACATAAAATCAACATTACATAGCTAATGTTAATATAAAATCAGACATTACATTAAAATATACAGGTGGACGATTCAACATCTTCACAATATCTTCAACCGATCTAGAAATCATCGCTTCAACCTCGATTGGAACTTTTGTTTCGAAACAGAAAAATGTATTTCACATAGTCCTTACGTCTGCATCCATCTTGAGCTCATAGTTGAACTCAATCTTGCCTTCGTTGTTAATTGACGGTGAACGATACTCGAGCTTCACAATTTTTCGACTATCTCCGTAAGGTAGGAGATTCTGCATCTCATATTGCAGATCTTCAAAAGAGGTGTATTCATTGATCTTAAACCTGTGTAATGCTGAAAAATGAGACATTTGTGACATACCATATGATGTTTATTTGCGACATTTTATGTTTGTATGAAATAAAAAACTAGAGCCTAAATTTATAAACGTTGTAGACAAATATGGACCTCAAAATTTGTATCCTGTATCAGTGGTGGTTTCAGAGATGCATTTTCGGTACCACCCTATTGTCTTATTCCGGAGATACATCTCTGAAACCTCTCCCGAAATAGACAAAAAATAGAACCTGTTTGTTTTGTTAGACAAGTGAACACAATTTTTGACAAACATCAAAATATATTAAAATATTTGAAATTGTATATTACAGTTCATTAATATTAATACACAATTACATACACTTAATTGATGATAAATAACTAAAACGAATCAAATAATTTGTCGCAGGCTAAATCTATAAGTATGGGTGGTACCCTTTTTGACTTTTGTGCATTTGATTCTCTTTCAATGTTGCTCAATTTAGGGAACTCTTTCATCCTTTCCACAAATCGGTTCAGTCAAGTCTCGGTTTTTATTGTTGAATGAGTCATTCACTCCACTGATGTAAGTGGTATAGGAAATCCCGATTTCAAATAAACTTGAATAAAGTGTCGTGATTTTGAAAGCCACCAAATACACATAATACGATCATTTGAATTTTGAGGTGGAGTGGTGCGCAGTATGATTTTTTTCTTCCGAAAAACGGTATCTTGTAAGATCAATAAACACTCTATTATACGTACTTGCTATGAGATGACTTATTTCAAGAAATCGCATCCATTTTTCCTTCAGTGTCGATCCACTAATGCAAGGAACAAGAGACTCATAAATTGCATCAAAATTTTCTTTCTATAAAGTTATGTATGATTCTTTATGGATCCTCAACTCATGGATAAGTTGATGGCGGACAAGTGTGTGGTTATATTCTCTTTTACCGAGTAAAGCCGAAATAGCTCAAAAACCGCAATTACCGTCACCCTCAACATTGACAATCCATTTGATGTATTTGTGCATAAAATTCGTCATCTCGTCAATGAATGAAATTTTTGGTGGAGGCGGTGAAGGAGGTGGTTTGTTAATGCGAGCTCCTTTAAAAATACTTTTTTGAAATTAGAGTTGGTGAGTCCGGAAAAACTCTGCCAACATGTACCAAATACGATCTGCCAACATGTACCAAATACGAAGGAAGCCGCGTCTTCGAATTGTCACTCGATGTAGGCCTGACCTTGTTCAGAGCACCTTTTATTTTACCGTTGAGAGGGTGGTTTTAAGTCATTGGTTTCCAGATAAACAATCTTCCTCAATTGTTCTTTGATGTGGTCTTTAATATTGTCATCAACTTTCAAAAATATCGGAGCTTGCATTATCAGATCGTTTAGCTTCGTGAAAAATATAATTCAACCTACTCGAGATATGTTGCCGACCAACTGAGAATAAAGATTGTTGTCTTTAAATTTGTGTTTCAAAACTATGATGCTCCGCCCAAATCATGTTTGTATCTCATTATGCTGCTTCTAGATCATTTGCTTCACAGAGTCCTAACCTATACACAAATCACCCTTTTTATTTCCAACCAATTATTCAATGTAGCATGGGCAGACTCAACTCGGTTTGTTGTTATATTTTCAAGGTGTCTAACCTGATCAGTTCATGCATAAACAATTTTCTCCTTCACCTGAACCAAAATTGTGCTTTCAACAAATTTGGATATTTCTCACACACCTTTCTGAAATATATAATAGAATCGACATATAAATTTTAGTGGAAGAATTTCATATAACATTACACGCATCCATTATTTTTTTTCACTATCACACCAGCCTTCACCATTTTTCCATCTTCGACCTTTATCCTTTTAGTTCCTACCGCGTGTGTAACTCGACTTCTCACATTCTTTGTTATGTGATACCTACAAATTAATACATAAAAAGTAGGAAATAAATTTGCAACCGAATTAATCAAAGTTGTATCGTGGTTGGTAACAATTACTTTCAACATCTTTTCTTGGTCCTACAACACTGCCCAACACACTTTTAAAGTCCAAGTAACATTTTCCTCTTTTTCGCTTTCTAGAAATGTAAACACGACATAATAGTTCTTCTTAGTAGAGGTAACACCAACCATCTCAAATAGTGGAAGTTTGTACATGTTGGTCTTATACGTTGAATTAATGACGAACACATTAGAAAACATGTTGAACAACTTGATGGAATGAGGATGAGTCCAAAATATATCTCTAATGGCTACTTCATCCTAGCATGTTCGGTACCTGGAAGCATAATTGTTATCATCCAAAAGTTTCAATTGTTGTTGTATATCAATTCTATCCCCCTTAGTGCCTTGTTATTTTGGTACCAAATATTGTACACTTGCTTGATATTTGAGATATGTTTCAGTCTTTTACGTTTCAAAGTTCCAAGTATGTTTTTCGATTGAACCAAATTCAATGTCATGTCTGAAACACATTCCTTCTCTTCCGGCATGAGGCGACACACAATTGGATGATTGGACAACTTTTCACACAAGTCATGGTTATATAAACCACATATGATTAAATCTCCATTTCTTATTTGCCAACATATAACTACAGAAATTAAAAGGACACTCACATTTTCTTGAATCAGTGTCATCTCGTTTAAAATTACGGAGATGAGGTCTATATTTTTCACTTCTTTCGCATGTCATTGTCACAAATTCACCTCTTATATCCGAACCATTATTGGACCTTCCGATTACCACACCAAATTCCAATTTAGAGGCCTCCACATGAATCCTTTGAAACATGTGAGCACAAAATTCAAACTCTTGCTCATTTTTAAATTGGTTGCCAACATCTACCTGTTTTACAATAACACCTTGGTATTCAGAGACACAACATGTTTGGGAAAAGTATTGGGGTGCACCATATTTAATAAAAATAATTACAATAAAAAAACTCAAAATTGCTAATACTATAAACCGAGCTGAAAAATGAGAATAGACAGCCTACAGAGATGCATCTTCGGAAGAGTTCATGCAGAATCCAAAGATGCATCTCTGGTTTAAACAATGTTTTTCACACTAAAAACAAGCTTAATGTGAGCAACTAGGCTTGATATAAATTATATTTACATGTAATTCCAGCTTCTTTTGCTCCATTTGATGTGATGAAACACAAGAATGAATATTTGAAGTGAAAATGTTGATTGAGAATGAATGGATTTAAGCGCTCAAATTCTAAAATAAAGTTTTGCTCATGTTTTCTTGTTATTCAAATATGGATGATTCAATTGGGGGGTTACCATGAGATAGGTCTCACGACCCCTTGCTCTAATGGACTACTCAATCATAGTAAGATTAATTGCAATCAAGTAAAGTATATGCATATCATGCATATAAAATCAAAGTAATAATAATGTAAAAGTAAACATAAACGACGACAATGCTTTGATTTATAGTAAGAAAAAGATCCACTAACACTTAATGCTCTTACAATAAAGTAGAATTTGTAGCAAAGTAACAAAAAAAAACTTAGAACAAGAATTTAATGTTGGAAACTAAACTTAGAGAGTGAAAGAGTAAAGCTTGATGATCATTAATAATGATTCAAGGCTTATTTATAGCCACTAACCACATTTAAGGCCCTAAATTTGTGTAAATGATATTAATGGTCATTGAGTACTTGAATTGGAACAAATTGGAGGCACCAAAGGTCATAAAACGTCCAAAACACCAAGAATTTGTAATTGTTGCTAGGCTGAACACAGATAGTGTCAGGAAACATTTTCTTCTCGTGTTGTTCTCGGAAAATAAGGGGATAAGTATGGGAGAAACACGAACTTTATCAGGGAACACAACATCCCGTGTTGTCCATGGAATTTTACTATGGGTGCAACTCTTTGGGCCAACACTGCTCGTGTCAGCT